TGTGTGTGTGTGTGTGTGTGTGTGTGTGTGTGTGTGTGTGTGTGTGTGTGTGTGTGTGTGTGTATGTATACCAGGCACTAACCTGCAGAAAGGTGGCACCTTGATGCAGGTGCGGACGTGCTGAAGACAAAACTGGAGCTATGGCGCCGCAGGTATGTTGACTCGCAAGTCCCCTGGCCACCGCCAACCTCTGCTCTCCTTGGTGTCATCAACCTCTACTAGTGCCCAGTGCTCTACTCGAAACCTACAGCGCCCAGCACGTCGACTACTACCTCAAAACTACCTACCAACTATTAAGTGGACCAGCTACAAGTAGTGTTGGTCTGACTAGGAGGTCGCCTCACCCAGTGCGAAAGTGCGTCAATGTCTGAAGAAGACCTGATGGCATAACCAAACCGGCGCCTAAACAAAAAGTGGCACCTGACCGGTACCAGGCCTGGGACTGGCGCCTAAACCACCCAGTACCCCTGTCGTCTTCACCCGAATAGAACGCCCGACAATTATAGTTGTATTTGGTGCAACTTGCAGACCATATACGACGATAATGACAGGGCGTTCTATTCGGGTGAAGACGGTAGGCCTGACGAGGTCCTAAACTTGAACTGACACTGGGTCCTAACACAGGCCCTGGACTGCCTAAAACCCCCCTAGGCTCCGTATGTCCCCTAATCCTACTATCGGGCCCTACAGGGGCCCTTGTGGGAAACGTGCATGTCACCCTCCCCCCTCCTTGCAAGACCGAGCCTACCGGTGAGGGCGGAGTTGTCGATCGGAGGGAGGGATCGAAGTCGGGGTGGGACGGGCAGGTTGTGAAGCTTCCTTCGCTAGTCATTGCTTCCCGTAGTTGGTGTGGATAAGTGGTGCGGATGCTTGCAATTCTGCACATGAAATCCATCGTGTGTCGTTGCGGTCACATTGCTTGAAGGTAACCTTGTACTGCATTGGCTTACTGACGTACTTGCGATGTGTGGTGACCCGATCAACCTCCTAGTGACCATCCATGGAAGGAGGGCCTTGCGAGTGCTGGCCCGGGAAGGCGTTGCTTTTGGCTGGTGTGTAAGTAGCCAGCTTGGAGGCGTGGAAGACCGGGTGGACTGGTAGATGCTGCAGGATGTCGATCACGAACGATGGGTTGTCGGGTTCGTCGCCGACAGCTGATTTGACGGTCCATGGTCCAAACCACTTGGGGAGGAGTGTGCACGACACATCTTGTTCGAGTGCAAACTCCTCGGAGGAAACCCATACAAGGTCGTCGACGCGGATAGGACATGGCACGTGACGAAACGAGATCCATGAGCATCGTCAATCCCATGAAGGAGCGAACCTCCGTGGTGTTGGTGGGTTCCGACCAATCTTGGATGGCCTGAATTTTGTTTGCGAGCGGATGGATGCCTTGCGGCATCACAAAGTGACCCAAGTACTCAAGTTCTTGTTGAGCGAACTCACACTTGGCTCGGTTGGCCTTGGAGTTGGCCATATGTAGCCTCTCCAAAACGGTGCGTAGGTGCTTGAGGTGCTCGTCCAAGGTCCGACTCTAAACCAAGATGTCATCGAGGTAAATAAGCACAAACCGGTCCAACATGTCTCGAAATGTCGTCGTCATTGCCGCTTGAGAAGTGGTTGGGGCATTCGTGAGGCCGAATCGCATTATGACCCACTCAAAATGCCCATACCGCATCTTGAACGAGGTCTTGTACCGGTCTCGTGGATGAATCTTAATTTGGTGATAGCCGGATTTGAGGTCCAACTTCGAGAAATACGTGGCGCCGCCCAAGCGTTCGAGAAGATCGTTGATGCATGGGAGCGGCCTGACATTCTTAACGGTTTGAGCATTAAGCTTGTGGTAGTTGATACATAGCCGCAAGTGCTTGTTCTGCTTTCGGAGGAAGAGAACGGGTGCACTGTAGGGTGATCAGCAAGGGCGAATCCAACCGTTTGCAATTAGGGCGTCGAGTTGCATACGAAGCACCTCAAGTTCCTCCTTGCTCATGTGGTAGATACAACCGCGTGGAGGTATGCCGCCACTTGAGGATGATCTCATGGCGAATGGGTCAGTCCGATACTTTCCGGCGGGGGCTTCGAAGACGTCACCGAAGGAGTGAAGAAGCTCACGACTCGTGGATCCGGTGGACCGGTGGTACTTCCGACGCTGGCTCATCCGATGGAGGGATGGCATGCAAGAAGCAAAGGCCCATTTCTTCAACATCCTGCCGTGCGATGGAGTTGTGAATCCTCGCCGCAGAAACCACGTGACAACAAATCCAAGGGTGAGGTGGAGGAACCGTGCATGAGACTAACATACCGTTCCGATCACGAACGTGAACGGTGCGACGATAGAAGTTAATTGGGTGGTCTTCACTTCGTAGCCACAACTTGCCCAAGATCATGTCGAAATTGGTGTCTAAGATGTCGAAGGACACCGCCTCGCGTGCGTGCGGGGCGAAGTATACGGGCACCACGTCAATGCACCGGTCAATTGACTTGTGCATGTGACTGTCGGCCAACCTGACTTCGTGGGCTGCGACTTCCTTCGAACGTGCGGCCTGAGGACGATGCGCACCATGAAGTCTTGGCTGATGTAGTTGCGAGTAGCTCCACAGTCGATAAGGCGCTGCAGGTCGCCCTCCTGATCTGAATGCGGATGTAAAGTAACAACACGTCGATGTCGTCGTACCGTTGCGTGGCGTCAATCTTCGCAAGGTACTGGCGAAGGTCAACAACCGCTACTCCGTCTTCCGTCAACGGAGCTGGTACTGCAGCGTGCAAATACTTGCACAAATCTGCCATCAACGCGTTGCAATAAGGTTTTGGCAAGGAACCAGACACGTGACGAGGCAACCAACGGGTTGAGGTCCTGAAGTCTCAACCAAACTGACGAATCCCTGAATGATGGTAATGACGGCGAAGAACTTGAATCGCTTGCCGACGGTGATGAAACCGCACATGCGCATGAGTCTTGCACGTGGAGGGGTAGGTCCCACGGAGGGACCAGTTGGACAGCGTAGTTCTCCAAGTCATAGCAAGAACTTGCAACATCCGCATGCTCCCCGGACAGGTAGGAAGTTGATAGCAAGGCAAGTGTGTCCGGCGGAATGGGAAGTGGAGTCACCTCACTTCCCGCAACGCTCAGTTTCCCAAGCTTGGCTTGGGCCCAACATCCCCCTTGGCCTTGTTGAGGCATTGAGTGGGGGGTGTTCTTTGTGCTATTGCACCAAAAACAGCAACCCCACTTTTGTCGGTGTTTGAACTGTTCCTCCATGAGTTTGAACTTTGTCCAAGGCTCGTTTGGTTGTCCAGCTCCAAATGTTGACGCGGATGCTGCTTTTTTTGTGGGAGGGCATTTACTTGGTCTCCTTCACATAATGCTGAAGTCGATGCCGGGTCTTCATTTGGTCCGCTGGATTGGACTGCAGCAATGGGCTGCATCCATTGCCCCTTTCCTCTCTCCACAAAGTTCGGCTGCCCTTGTTTCTCATTTGCGGCACGCCGATTTGTTTGGATGATGGAGCTGGCTCGAGTGACGATCGAGTCCAAATCTTCATACTCCTCCATTTGTCCAAGGGCCGATGTCAAGGAGTCAACCGGTCTTTGGAAGAACTCGTGTCGGATGTGCTCGAATAGCAAGTCCAAGTCCATAATGGCGACAATTTTTTGCCAACCAATTGTGCGTCGGTTGACTTCCTTGAAACATTTTGAATATTTTATTGACGCCTTTGGCCTTGGTGTCTTGCACGATGAAATGTGATTTCCATTTTGTGGTGATGGACCCTGATGGCGTCGCAATTCATCTTGGTGTGCAGATTCTCCACGTTGACACCCTCCTTGACCTCCAGGTGATTAAGCTAAATTTGGCATGCACCGGTGGAGTTGAGGTAGAGCGCTGCAATCTTCAGGCGCTCAGGGACTTCGTGAATTCCGAGCTCGGTGGTGAATCCTTGCCACCAAGCGAGCAGATTGGTCTTGGTGTAGTCATCAAACTTCTCAATTCGAAGGTTCGGCAACGGGCGCGGGTGTTGCTGCCTGCAGGTTGCTGCTGCAGCATACGGACGTCAGCCTTCAGCACTCTGAGATGCTGGCTGATCGTTGCTGGTTCCGCAAATGTATGGAGGTTGCCGATTGTGGCGACCACATGGTCAATCCGCTGCTCCAGCTGTCGTGTTGACGGCTGGGTCATACTAGGTCGGCTGCCAGGTGTGACGGTGTCCCTGTCCTCCCAGTCTTCGATGCGTGTGTGAAAGCTGCGGTTGGTACCATCTTGCTGGTCGCTACCGTTGTCGATCACCCGCGCCAAGTGCTGCAGCTCTTGCTGCTTCCCATTGCATGTGGCGATGAGCTGTGCAATCATCTCGGGGATCTCCTCCTTGGTCTGGTTGTCTTCCGTCAGATTGCTGTTGCTCGCCGTCGTTGTGAAGTGCCATTTCAGGAGTGTTGCGCATCTCCCACCTCTTGCTGCTGCAGTGCCGAACAGGCTTTCAACCGGAGTTGGTTGATTGCTGCTGCGGCCTCGGCCTGCTATCGTCGCTGTTCCGCTCATGCCTGTTTGGCTGCATGGATGCAAGCGGCTACAGCTTCGTCACGATGCTTCTTTTCTTCGTCGATGAAGGCCAGAAAATTGCCCACTGGAAGCTGGAAGGCCTCGACAGTCTCATTGGGCCCCTGCCCTTGCAGACCGGGCAGACCCAGACCTGGTGCACCTCGAGCTGCTGCACTCCCAGGTGTGCTTACTGCTGCTGCTGCTGCTGTGTGACGAACAACAATAAGGCAGCGATTGCTGGCTGGCGGCATGGGATCGATTGTAATACCAGTTCAACTTTCCGATATACCTCCGCACTTCGGATCGACGGTCGCCCAATTTTTTTGCTAAAGTACGCCATACCTTCCTGAATGTCTGATGAAGATTTGCGGGAGGAGCGTTGAGATAGCTTCTACACAATGCTCGCTGCCTGTGCGCTTCCTGAATGTCTGATGAAGGTCCCCCATACGTGGGCCCCCGTGCACGAGTTGGGGCTATGTCAGGAGGAGGGGGGCTGTACAGAGGTACCGGCTGCATGGGAGGTACTGGCCTGCACAGGAAGCGTACGACTGTGCTTGACTGTGTCTGTGTGTGTGTGTGTGTGGTGGGCTCAGCATGTGATACTTCATCGCGATGAAATGGCCATTACAACGTTGCATTATGAATGGTGCAAGGCCTCCCATAACTGTGTACTAAGCAGAGAATGCATATTCACCTGCTTGCCTCCTGACTAACTGCCACCTTATGTTTTGTCTGTTCTCTCAGTTATGTTCATTCTTATCCAGTTGTAAATTAATAATTATTCGTCCTGCACGGGAGAGAGGGAGAGGGAGAGGGAGAGGGAGAGGGAGAGGGTCAGGAAAACGAAGGCTACGAGGAGAGAAGAAACGGAAAGAAACAGGGAAAGACCTCATGAGTTCAGGAGTAGTCAGTGGTGTGTGCGTGCATGTGCGTGTGCATGTGCATGTGTGTGCGTGTCTGCGTGCGTACGTGTGTGTGTGTGTGTGTGCGTGTGTGTGTGTGTGTGTGTGTGCACATGTCGTGACGTGGGTGGACGTTTCGGACCGTGTTACTTCACAGTAGTACGCAGCATGTCACAGCAAGCCAGAACGATCGATTGGATGGATAACCATTATGAGCATGAGTGCTACCGTCTTCCCCTGAATCGAACGTACGGTGATTATAGCTGTATTTGGAACCACTTTCAGATACAGCGATAATTAAGGTACGTTCTATACAGGGGAAGATGGTTGGGGAAAATGTGAATGCTCGACATTCATCACTCACAAGCAATTGACCAATCGAAACCTCGTACAGGGAATCGACCGATTAAAACCCGAATATATAGAACGTACTCATTCGTTCAACAAAACCTCGTATAAAAGATGATGTCGACAAATGTCCGACAAGCTCGACCTTGTTTGAATCTGTCTTGACTGCTTCCGGTTGAATGAAGAAAGGAGAGAGCAGAGCAGAGAGAGGAAGAGAAGCGGGAAGGGACGTTGTGTGAAGATTGCCTGATGCACCTGGCCGGTTTTAGCAATCATATGCACTGTCAACTCCAAACACTCAGACAGCAGGAAGGATGTGGGAATCCCTAAGCCGCTTTTTGCTGCCTGCCATGTGGCAGTTCATCAAAGGGGAGGAGGGGTTCCTGCATTAAAAAAAAAAAAAAAAAAAAAAAAAAAAAAAAAAAGAAGAAGAAGAAGAAGAAGAAAGAAAAAGATAAAAAAGAACAAGGAGAAAGCACACATGTGACCTCCGTCCGTCAGGGTTTCGCGATATGCCATATCCTTCTTGGGCTGTTTCTTAAACAGCTCGTTTAGGGGGGAAAAAAAAAAAAAAAAAAAAAGCAGCAGCTCGTTGTGTATGAGGAGGTCTATGCGGTCATCATTGCTCATAAACACAATCTCATATGAAAATGCCAATGGACATGTGACTCCACAAACAGCACAACTCCGAAAAAAAGTGCAGTGCAAAAAGGCCAGTTCAGCAGTTGCCCTTATGCTTGGCCGGTCTTGCTGGGCCGCTGCATCCCTGGTGACCTACATCTAGATTCTAGATGCATTATGTGTGTATATAGGGTCATATACATCGTCATGTACACCATCATAGAGGACTGCCGGGTAAACCATAGGCAGAGAGGGAAAAGAGGGCAACAAACGAAAAACGAGGCGCTGTGACAAACTGTTTCGTTGGAGTTTCACCGACTCATCAGGAGGCTGAACCCTATATAATATATATGTCACAGTGCCTTGTTCCTCGTTTGCTGCCCTCTTCTCCCTCTCTGCCTATGGTTTACCAGAAAGCTCTGTCTGACTATATATTATATATTTATGACGATATATATAATATTTTATAATGTAAATATATATATCGTCACAAACAGAACTGCCCGGTAAACCGTAGGCAGAGAGAGAGAAGAGGACAACAAACGAGGGGCTGTGACAAACTGTTTCGTCGGAGTTTCACCGACTCATATATATATATATATGCCCCTTGTTTGTTGTCCTCTTCTCCCTCTCTGCCTACGGTTTACCCGGCAGCTCTGTTTGACGATATATATGTAGTATGTAGTATGTACATATGTTTGCCTTCAGTATTTCTGTCATATGTTTCACAAAGTGCAGAGATGTATTTCTCTAATTTTCTTTGAGCTGATAGGTATGTACTATGTAACTGTCTATCGCATAATCCATTTGTTTGCTACAAAAGCGGAGATCGGAGATGTGAACATTTGGCTGACAGTAAGAGGTAAGGATTACGTGTTCAATTTTGAATTTGAAGTGTTTTTTTAAAGGTTTAAAAATAAGAAATGTCGGTTTGCAGGCAGTCCATGGGAAAGGGGGGTAGTAATTTTGCAAAGCCTGTGCATTATTTAGTATTTAGTATTTACTGCTCCGTTTTCTTTCTCTCTCGGAAAATGTCCAGAACTGCATGAAGCTGACGTCTGGGTACATTTTCACCACTCCCATGGGAAGGAGAAGGAGCGCGTCGAGAACTGGGGTCTGCTTGCGTCTCTGGCAGCGAGGGCCTCAGGAAAGCAAAATTCTGATCGGAGATAATCCTTTGTACAACCTCTTGGCAAACTCTCTCTCTCTCTCTCTCTCTCTCTCTCTCTCTCTCTCTCTCTCTCTCTCTCTCTCTCTCTCTCTCT